TTGAGCTGACGAACCCATTTCAGGCTCCAGGAAACTGTTTCTTTAGAGACTCTAGCACACTAAATGCTTTTCTAATGTGGACAGAGGGCAGGAAATGGAAGGAGCTTATGTCTTCCCAAATAATGGAAAATCCCCAAATCATTTTTATCAGCTTAGCAAAAGCACATCTTTAAAAACTTGCTTCCCTCTCTGCCTTTAAGTGGATGATTACAGTCTAAGTTGGGCAGTGTGTGGGAGTAGGAAGTGGCATCTCCCTTAACCAGTTCTTGTTTTGGCGAGAATGAAAATGAACTTTTTCTTTTTTAAAAAATTTATATTTATTGATTTTAGAGAGACTGAGACACTGGGCAAGTTTCTGACTCAACAATGGCAAGTGATATATTTCAATCTCCATTTTCTTATCCCAGAAAAAGAAAGAAAGCAATATTTAATAATATAAAAATTCTAATAACAAACTATTTTTTCTAATACCAAAGAATTCTAAAACAATTCTCACTTCCATCATGTTTTAAAAAAGTTTGTTTAAAAATGGATGTATAAGTACTATTCATTTTTTTGTTTAATAAAAGATTTATAATCAAATAGCCAGAATCTGTGCACAAAATTATAAACTAATAATTATTTTAGTTACTAATTTTTAAAGGACCCTGCCTTAGAAATATTCATTCATGCATGCATTCAGCATTCATCAAAAACTTGCTTTGTTAAAGATACTGTGTAGGTGCCAGAGATTCGAGGAGTATTTAGAAAGTAAGATACCCTAGAAGCTTACAGTCTAGTAGAAATATATTCAACTATGATGTATTTTAGTTCCTAGTGACTCTTTTACATGAACTTTTGTTGTACAGTGAATTAACTGAGAATCAAATGAGTTTGGAGAGATATATTGCTTTATTTATTTCTTTTTCTGGAAAAAGAAAATCAAGATTGAAATATGTCACTTCCTATTGTTGAATCAGTGTTTGTTGCCTACTCACTGCCCAACTCTTATCTACACTAATAAAAGAGTAAGATGCAAATTGACTATACCTTTGCAAAGGCCTCCAGCCAATTGGGAGTGAGTATGCAAATTAACCCAACAAAGATGGTGGGTTAATTTGCATATGTAGGTGCTGAGTGGTGGGGGCTGCCTCTGGGCAGCATGGAAAGGTGAAAAGGTGGCTCTGGGCCAGAGCAAAAAGACGGCTTGGGCTGGAGCAAAGGCAGTGCCTGCAGCCAGGGGAAGGAAGGCCCTTTCTTGCATGAATCTTCGTGCTTCAGGCCTCTAGTGTATTCATAAAAAGGGTAGGAAAAATAGCATGAAGATGGAAGTGAAGCCCCAGGAAGAATAGAGTTTCTCAAACAGATACAGGGAGTGCCTGTGCCAAAGCACCCTGAAGGGTGCAGGCTACCCAGAATCCAGTATTGGCAGTGAAGTCTGGTAACCTGAATTTTGATTCTATTTTTATAAAATATATTTTTATTGATTTCAGAGAGGAAGGGAGAGAGATAGGAACATTGATGATGAGAGAGAATTATTGATGGGCTGCCTCCTGTACTGGGATTGAGCCTGCAACTTGGGCAGATGCCCTTGACCAGAATTGAACCAGGACCCTTCAGTTCGCAGGCCAATGCGCTGTCCACTGAGTCAAACCAGCTAGGCCAGTCTGCATTTTTAATAAACTTCTCTGGTACGTCTTATGGTACTCAGGTTGGAGAGCATTAATATAGGCACTTGGATAAGGTAAGCAGGACTAGATAAACTACTTCAAAGGCTGATGAAGACCCTAGCAGATGTGTTCTCATAGGCATTGCCGATAACCTTAGAGATATTTTTGAGCACGGAGAGAAAGCAAGCGATGTGTAAATACTGCCCCAATTTCAAACATGAGAAAAGAGTAGATGCCAGAAACCACAGCCTTACAAGCCTGACATGACCTTTGGAAAAATCTTGTTCCAAACACATGAAGTCAAAAAGCATTCAGAGGAAAATGTGATGTTCACTAGGCACATCGTGGATTCACTAAAACATGGTCTCTATTAGAGATTGTCAAACTTCGCTGCATATTAGAATCACCTGGAGAGCTTTAAAAAATCCAGATGTTCAACTCTACCCAAGGGGACACAGGCACTAGTTTTTTTTAAAGCCCTGAGAGATTCTGATTTAATAAGGTGCTGTCTGATCAATGGGAGTTTTCAAAGCTCCCCAGGTGATAACTAAAATGCAACAAAGTTTGATAACCGTTTTTTGTCTATATAATAATTATGCAAGTTGCTTAACTTCCTTGTACTTTCTGTCAATTCTAGGAACTTTTAAAGGTCGCTCTCACCTTTATACATCTATGATTTTGTTATTAAAAATCATTCCAAACTGATTTCCTTTTTTTCTTCCTCTTTCCCTGCCTTCCCATCCTCCCTTATCCTTCTCTTCCTCCTCCTCCTCTTTTTCTTCTGATTTGAGATAGCTTGGAATGTCAAGGTGTCAAAGTATGTATCTTAATTTCATTAAAATATTTAGCAAAATTTCCAAGGACCACCCTGGCTGGTTTGGCTCAGTGGTTGGAGTGTTGGCCCATGGATCAAAGGGTCCCTGGTTTGATTCCCAGTCAAGGGCATGTACCTTGTTTTCAGGTTCCTGCCCCCTCTAGGGGTGCATGTGGGAGCCAACCAGTCCATGTGTCTCTCTCACATCCATGTCTCTCTCTCTCTCTCTCTCTCTCTCTCTCTCTCTCTCTCTCTCGATCTTTCTCTCTCTCTCTCTCTCTCCTTTTTTCTCTCTCTCTTCCTCTCTCTCCATCTCCCTCTCCCTTTCTCCCTCTCTCCTTTCCTTGTCCCTCTCTTTCCACTCTCTAAAAATCAATGGGAAAAATATCTTCTGGTAAGGATTAAAAAATTTTTCCCAAGGACCTCTCATAAATACATAAGTTGATAGGTATGATGGATGAATGTACCACCTAAGTGCACAAATATGAGGATGTGAATGTAATGGATCTGCGGTAATCTTGGAAAATGTTTTGGAGTAGAATGTCACAAGGGTTGTTATGCTCTGGAGCTGATCTTATTAACATTTAAGAAAGATATAGCTTGAGCCGGTTCTGCTCAGTAGTTAAAGTGTCTGTCTGCAGACCGAAAGGTCCCGGGTTTGATTCCATTCAAGGGAATCATATGTTGGTTGCAAACTCAATCCTCCGGCCCTGATTGGGGCATGTGCAGGAGACTACCAGTCTATGTGTCTCCCATTGATGTTTCTCTCTCTCTCTGCCTCTCCCCCTCCCTTCCATTCTCTCTCTCTAAAATAAATAAATAAATAAATAAATAAATAAATAAATAAATAAATAATGGAAAAAATATCCTCAGGTGAAGATGAACAACAAAAGATATAAAAGAAATCCCTAGTAGACTTGTAAATAATCCCAAATTTAAGAGGGTTAATTGATTCAACATGTAAAAAAAAAAAAAAAACCAAGCCTAGATCCGATTAGAATATCTGTTTATTAAGGTTATTATTTAAAAAAAATTTTTGATAATTCAAATATTTTGCTCATTTTTGTTTTGCCTTTTCTTCAGTTGAGTTGAAATTCTGAAGCTTTTAATGTAGTGCTAGTGGAAAAATAAACGTGCCTATAGGGTCCCTAGTTCTCTTTGTTTCTATCAGGAAATGCAAATATATTAGATCAGGTTGGTTTGGAGAATCAAAAGGAAAGGAAATGTGGCAGCTAAAAAAAATAATGATTTTCCTCCCACCTTCTAGATTCTTCTACGTGGGCTAATCAAATCAAAAGAAGAAAATTAAATTTTTATACACGCTCACGGGGGATTCACATAAGCATGGGAATTCCAAAGACAGTGCAGTAAAATTGGGTATATAAGTCATTTTTAAACAAAGAAGAAAAAGTGGGCCTGAGATTTCAAAGGGAGTAGGCAATTTACAGGTAGTTGAGGAAGAGAGGAACATAGTTTTGCTAGGCAACCCAGAAACAGCAAGACACAGGGTGGACTAGTGAACAGGCATTTGCCTGGAGTCCTCCTGTCTAGTACTACGTTTCTCATCCTGAAGCAGGTGTTTTATTTTTATTTTTTCTTATCTGAATTTTTTAAGTAGGAAAGGGGGAAGGTCAAAGGTTCTTTCTGAGTCTTTTGTTTCTCTTAATATCCCTGCTTAATGATCGTTATCCCCAAAAGCAAAACTTTTGCCCCCTTCAGAAATATCACCCCCCAAAAAAGCATGGAGGAAAGGAATTTTGTCAGAAATTCCCAGGAGTGATTGTGGAAAATCCCTTTGGCAGTTTCATCTAACTTGTCAGAGAGGCTGGTGAGCTACCGGAAAGAAGACTTGGAAGAGTCTCAAAAACACTGGGAGAGCTTGTTTGAAAAGGGCACTTGGACAGATTCTGATGCCTTCATTTGGGGGGGGGGGGAGACCTTGAACCTCCTTTTTATAAACAAGTGCTCTGATTCTACGAAATATTGTCAAAGAACTCACTTTGATTTGGATGTTGGCATTTAAATATCTTGTTTTTGTCTCATAGTCCTCCAATTTGTGTTTTTCAAAGCCCAGATAGGTTTAATTATTTGAGCTGAAAACCAAAACTGTTCAATGATGTCAGAGTTTTCCTATCTTATTCCCTATGTGAATTAGAAAATTGTACGCTCTTACATTGCCACGCTTTTCTTTTCGTTTTTAATGTGTTATTTTCTGCAGAAAATAAAATTGACGTGTTGCAGAAAAGCAACCTATTGCTGCTCAGTTGCTGCTGCTGTGCTATGGAAAATAAACCAAGATTAGATTATGTCTGGTCACTTTCCACATCACGTGACCAAGGGCAGTTGAGAAGAAGCATAAAATGAATCCCGCTGAGCAGTCTAAGGACACCTAATTGTTAACATCCTTCTTCCTTCCCCTCCCTCCTGTGTATTCCCCTTCAGGGTCTGTGATTGAAGTGTCAGCTAAGGAGTGGTTTCACACATCTCTTCACCATCTGGAATAAGACGTTGAAGATATTCCACACCATCTAAACAACATGGGCTGCGGTAGTTCATCAATTAAAATCAGGAAATCTGCAAAAAGTGAGTGCTAGGAATGTGTCTTCCTGATGAAAAGTGTGCCAATTACCTGTGCTCCTTTCTCATTTACGTACATAGTTGGTTCTGGAACTGCCTGCTCTATGTGATTTTGCACAAGGCATCATCACTTGAGCCATAGGTTAAATATTGGGATAACATCAGAAACGACTGGTAGGAAGATGTAGCTTTGAATTTCTGATGTGCCATAAAGTATTATCTAAGAGATATTTTATATTTGATTTGATTTCAGTTGGAAATGTATCAATATAAAATCTCAATTTAAAACTCAGTGGCAGGGAACAAGAAAGCCTCTGTAAACCTACATCTGTTTATTCAGTGTGCTTATAAATAGCTATATTCATATCTATGTAACGATTGGTAACATCATTGAATCTTTATTAGGTTTTATAACTCAGTGATCAGATTATTTTTATAGCTATTCAACAAGAACTTTATGAGATTTGCCTCATGTTTTTAGAATATTCTAGGTAGAATTTGGCAAATGCTTGATCATCTGCTTCTCCAAAAGGGGGTTGTTTCTAAATAGTTGACATGCCCCCTACTATTTCCATATAATTAGAAACTTATTATTTTCTTTATTTTGTACTGAGGTTCTTTCTCATGGCTACTAGAATCTAGTTGAAACTTGAGTGTCTAAGAAACATAGTTTTTACAAAGGAATTAAAAAAAACAAACAAGCAAGCTGGGACAATTATGTGAATAATGTGCTCTTAAATTCCATTCCTTTGCTATTTAGGTATAGATAATCTCCCCAATTTTTCTTCTACATCTTGATTTTGGAAGGTCACTCAGTCTTAGTATGGAGAGTTTAGGAGGAAGAGTTTTCTATACTAGTTAGTGTGAGATGTTTTCCTTTTGGTTTCAGATACTGTACTCTCTCCTAGTTGAATTGTGCATGTGTAGCTGGGTTTCCCATCCACTGATTTATCCAACCCCAGATAAAAAATATTAGAAAGAAAAATAGCCCCCAAAGTTCTAAAAAGCAAAACTTGAATTTGCCATGTCCTGAACACTATGCTGAATCTGCAGGAATGAAGCGATGTATAGGCAGACACTGATGTAGTCTATATTCAGATATAGTGTATATGCAAATACTATGGCATCTTAAAAATTTCTTTTTTGATTAATTTATTACATATGTGTCCTTATTCCCCCATTACCCCCCAATACTATGCCATTTTATAGAAGGGACTTATACAAGTAAGTATCTTTGGGGGTCCTGGAATTGATCCCCCACAGATTTCAAGGGACAGTTGTATTGAGATGGTCATGTAATTTTTGTCTTTTATTCTGTGATATGGTACACAGTTATTGGATTTTAGCTGTTATACCAACTTTGCATTCCTGGAATAAATCCCACTTGATCATGGTGTATAATAATCCTTTTTATATGTTGCTAGATTTGGTTTGCAAATATTTTGCTTAGGGTTTTTGCATCTATATTCATAAGAGATACTGGTTTATGTGGTATCTTTGCCTGATTTTGATATCAGGATAATACTGGCCTTAAAAATTGGTTGGAAAGTGTTCCTTTTTCTTGCATTTTTTAAAATAAGGGTTTGTGAAAAAGTTGTATTTAAATGTTTGTTAGAATTTGTCAGTGAAGCTATCTGGGTATGGGCTTTTATATATATTTATTTCTGGGATTTTCTTTGTGGGTAGTTTTTTGATTACTTATTCTATAGTTCTATTCAGATTTTATATTTCTTGTCATTTTCTTTAAAAATATTTTTTCAGCCAGTCAGCATGGCTCAGTGGTTGAGCATCGACCTATGAACCAGGAGGTCATGGTCACTCACCTGGGAAACCTTTTCCTGAGCACTTTCCATGTGCCAGAAATTGAGGATCACTCCACCCAAAGCTTTTATTTACATAGTGCTTTTTTAATTTTGTTTTTAGATTTAATTTCATTGTATTTTATTTTTTTCCGTCACTGTTTATAGTTGGCCAGGCCCTTTCACATACATTTGATCTTTAAAATCTGTGAAGAGTTCTCATTTTGTGGAAAAGGCTTTCAGAGGCAAAGTCAATACATGATCTGTAAGTAGCAGAGCTTGCTTCCTATTTCTCACAGTCTCTATAGTGATAAGGGTGTTTTTCCCCCATCTTGGTCATTCAGCCCCAATACAATACTCTGCCTTTGGAATGTGAAGGCAAAAAAAATGTTTTTATTGATTTCAGAGAGAGGAAGGGAAAGGCAGAGAGAGAAAGAAACATTGCTAAGAGAGAAACACCCATAGGCTGCCTCCTGCACACTCTCTCCTAAGGATCCAGCCCACAACCCTGGCATGTGCCCTGAGTGGGAATCGAACTATGACCTCCTGGTTCATGGGCAACACTCCAGCCAGCTGAACCACACTAGACAGGCTCATGGTATTTTTGAGAAAATGTAGCTTATATGTAAAATGGAAGCTATCCCCTTCTTATGGGCTATTCACCTTCCATGTAGAGAAGTAAGCATTGATTTTTATCATTATTGTTGTTATTTCACTCCCTTTGTGACATGCCACAGGGAAGAGAAAAATAATGGCTATACTTTACTGAGTGCCTACAACATTCATTATTTCTATTTCTCACCAAAATTCTTGGGGGAAGCTTTGGTTAGTCTCTTTCTAGGTGAAGAAACTAAGACTTATAGAACTATCCTGAGTCATGCATTAGTTGGTGGCTGAACCTGAATTGGAGCCAGCTTTGACAGATTCCAAAGAATATGCTACTTAAAAAAAATCTTTATTGAGTGCATTCGGGTAACATTGGTTAATAAAATTGAATAGGTTTTAGGTATACAATTCTATAGCACCTCATCTGTATATTGTATTGTGTGCTTACTATCCCAAGACAAGTCTCCTTCTTTCATCATATCCCCTTTTACCCTTTTCTACCTCCCCCTATTATTGGTGAAAGTGGAGTTCTCAGGGTGCTGTGAGGAAACGGAATTTCCTGAGGCCCAATGGGAGCACAGGGTTTTGTGGAAAGTTTTATTGATGATGTAAAATTAAGGGGTTCCCCTCCAAGTTCCCATCTTTGTCCATCTCGCCATGGAAGAAGTCCAGCCTTCAGCGGGGCCTGAATGCAGGCCATTGGCCAGAATCTCTGCTCCGTATTAAAGCACAGTCCAGCCCAGCATCGGGCTAGCTTAGCTTGTGTTCCCAGCTGCAGTCCATGTGTGCAGGGTCCGCAAGGCCATGAGCCATGCAACTGCTTAAGGCCACATGGCTATGGAGAGAGAACAGGCGAGCACACAGGTGAGTGCAGGTCATGGAGCAAGAGAGAGCAAGAGAAGAACAAAGCATTGGGAACTCTATGGGGATTTTAACCAGGATCTTCTTCAAACTAACCAATTAACTTTCTAAGATTGTTCCCCATGCTAAACTGGCAGGCAAGCACATCCCCTGCGCCACTCGAACTTCCATTGCACATGTGCCTATATCCCCTTTCCCCCCAATAATAAGTGACCAGACGTCCCTCTTTTGGCGGGACAGTCCCAATTTTTAACAATTTGTGCCGTGTCCTGGGTGTTTTAAAAAAGTCCCGATTTTTGGAAAGAATGCAAGACAAGCTAGGGAACGACGGGAGAATGGGAAGGGAAGATACGGTTTTCAGCGGCCATGTGGCTATTTAGCCAGAATATGAGTTTTATATTATTTTTGTTAATTTTATAATGGTAAGCTTTAATAATAACAAACAATTGTTGAGAACTGATTATCGAGAACTGCTTATCAAAGTTCGCATTGTTGATCAGTTGTTAGAATTCACTCAAATGAGAAATATGCCAAAGAATAAAATAATACTATACACAATTTTTAAATTTATTATATTTGTAAATTTTACTTGTGTTGAAATTTTTAACACCTTACCCAATAATCCAGTACCAGATGGGGGAAGGAGGGGTGTTAATACCTTGGAGGAACAAGGCTGTGCGAAGCTGTAGCTTCCTGACAAAGCTTCCCAGGTGACCATGTTTACAACTTCTGACTCCATTTGCCTTCTTTCCTTTATTAATATTTATTAATGTTCTGATGATAACACCCCACCCCGCTGGTAATTGCCATACTGTTGTCTGTGTCTATGAGCTTTTGTTTTTATTTCTTAATCCCTTCACCTTTCACTCAGTCCATGCTCCTTTGGACACACTGTCCTGACTTGAAAAATTGGAATTCAACCAAAAAAACTCAGAAATTAAACATTGCAGTTTCATTCTCCTGAACTTCAGTTTACACTTAAGATTTTATATTGATGGGTTTTGAATTAATAATCTGTTTCCTTTTTCTTTTTCTCGTGGAGCACTTTGAGAACACTCAGATATATTTTCTTTTGTTTCTTTACTTGAGACCACTTAGACATGCATTTATTCATTTTCTCTAAGTGCTGAGAAGCCCACAAAGGCTATCTAGTTTTTTTAGCTTTGAAGTTTGATGTCTTAAGCTGTAACAAATGGAAAATTTCTCTAATGGAGATTGTTCTTTAAAAAAAAATACTTGTTCTCTATTTTTACTTAAAAATTTGAAAATACTAAATAGCGACCACATACTTCTATAATTCTTGGAATAACATCTAGTTAATTTAGTTGTTTAAATATCTAACAATCAAGTCATTCAGATCTGCCTGAGAGATCCCCTCCCTCCATGCCCAGCCCCATATTTCCCAGTTGTTAAAAATTGCCATTTGTTTAAAGTTTGCTCCTGAAGGGAGCATTCACACCACTGCTCCCTATCTCTTCCTTTATCCCATCCCATGAAAAATGAGTTTGACAAGTTCTTGAATGACCTTGAAGTCCAGTGGTGCATTTTCAGTACTTATTTTGCTTGACATCCTGGCAGTAGTTGGCATTCTTGCACATTCCCCTCTTAACATACTCAAGGACCTTGCTTTCAATGCCAGCATATTCTTCTGGATTTCATTTTATGTCTTTGTTTGAACTATTTACCAGTGCTTTTAAAATACACACTGAGTGGCCAGATTATTATGATCTCTGAACGCAT